TTAGGGTTAGGTTTAGGCCTAGGGTTAGGTTTAGGGTTAAGGTAAGGGTTAGAGTTAGAGTGAGGCCTCTAAGAAACCTTTCTTAGACTTCAGGAAGAACATGACTTCATACGGAACAGATTTAATTTGCATGGTATAATTCAAGAAGTACCCTGGCTTCTCATGGTGGGCGGGATTCCCCCAGGGCAGGCATGGGAGAACAGGTGAGCACACCTGCCCCTCATCAAGCCCCCTGCCTCTGCCCACCCCCAGCCCACTCAGAAGTCCCCAGATGAGGGAAGGGGTGACCAGGGAGGTAAGCATGAGGGCAGCATGGGCTGTCCCTGCCCTGAGCGCCTGGACCCCGCAGGGAACCAGTCGTGCCACAGGTGCCGGGCAAGAGTCATCGTGTGAGGGAGGCTCTGCTGCCCATGGTCCCATGGTCAGGGCTGCGGGCAAGCAGTGAGGCGCTCGCACACTCGGCTTCTCAGGAACACGGGCAGCACGCAGGGCGCTGCAGCTGGGGGACACTGCCGCTGGATGGGCTTCTCAGGGGGTCCTTCACAGCATTCCCTGCAGCACTCCCAGGGGCCCCTCTCGTGGGCAGCAGCGACCTAGTCCCCGTATTTAATCTCTGCCCGCAGCTCCTTGTTGACGTAGTTCACCAGCATGGCCAGAAGCTGCTGCTGCAGGACCTCGCTGCCCATGACCAGCGTGACCAGTTGCACGGCGTCCGTCCACTCCAGGTGCCTGACGATGGCTGTGGCTTTGTCGACGAGCTTCTGCTGCTCGGAGCGAGGCAGCTCCATCAGGATCTGAGGGACCGGCTTGAACTGCCCACTCGTCATCCAGGCGCCCAGCAGGCCCCCGACGGCCCCGCCTGGGAAACAGCGGAGTCTGCGTTAGCCGGGCCTCACACATGCACCACGGCCTTATGGCCTTACGTTCTCACTGACATCGTCACCAGCTTGACCACTGGGTCAGGCAGGCTCTGCTTGGGGCCTGCACAGCCAGGTGGCGCGGAGAGCCAGTGTCCAGCAGTTGCTCAGTTACTGGCATCCCAGCTCCATGCTGCACAGCACTAAGTGAAAACCCTCCCCACCAGAGCCGTGCCTGCGAAACTCCTCCTTGGGCTGAACAAGGCTCTCCTGCCCCCGTCTCTCTCTCATCCCAGGGCAGGGCTCAGAAGCAAATGCAAGCTAGAGAATCATTTCAGGGGCCAGCTGGGCCCTGCCTTTGGTGCCCAACACACCCTGTCCCCAAGCTGTGGAAATTCCTAGCACACTCGTGGTTAAAGGACCTAGGGGACAGGTGAGAGCCTCGTCCGGGGAGTCCAGGTGGCACAGTGGGTTAAACGCCAGGCTGCTCTCAGAAAGATGAGGTGCCTGCTTCTGCAATTCCACTCTGCCCTAAAAAGCCAGGGACCAAACACACTGCCACGGAGTGCATTCGGACCCATAGTGACCCTGCAGGACGGGGACACTGCCCCAGGGGTTCCGAGGCTGGAACTCTTTACGGGAGCTGTAAGCCTCATCTTTCTCCTTCTGAGCAGCTGGTAGTTTTGAGTTTGCTGACCTTGCGGTTAGGAGCCCACGGTGTAACTGCTCCGCCACCTGGCTCCCTAGAAGTCAAAGTCCACCTGACGGCACTGGGTTTACTTGCTGTTGGCTTTGGAGGGCTCCTTTTGAAGCAAAGCTTCTCATGCAACCCCACCAAAGTTGTACGACAATAAATCACATATTTGACTCATTCCACTCGCTCTCTTCCCGGTACTCACAGGAACACACAAAGGTTACTTTTCATTTCCATGTGCTACGGAGGTTGTGGTCTCCTTCTTGGGACTCAAGGGCTGTGTGTCCACACAAAGCCACCGGAGCCGAGGAGGGGGGACCTCTGGGCCAGTGGGTGGCTGGCAGGAGAGGGACCTGGCTGAGCTGGTCTTTCTATAGGGACCGCAGTTACTTCATGCCCCTGTCGCTGCCACTCCAGATAGCTGAAAACCTCAAGTTATAGCTTTACCAAAATCTCATGGTTTTAAAATATTGGTCGTTGGATAAGGGGTAGGGAACCTTTTCCGGCCAAGGGTCATTTAGATATGTATAGCATCATTTGTAGGCCATACAAAATTATCCACTTAAAATTAGCCTGCTATGCTAGGTCAAATATTTCATTAACTCACCCCTGATGTGATGGCTGGGGAGCCGAGGTGGCAGAGTGGTTACTCAGTGGGCTGCTAAATGCAAGGTCAGCAGTTTGAAACCACCAAACACTCCTAGGGAGAAAGAGGAGGCTTTCTACTCCCATAAAGAGTTATCGTCTCGGGAACTGACCGGGGCAGGTCTACCCTGTCCTTTGAGATCGCTGTGAATCAGAATCGACTTGAAGGCTGTGAGTGTGGCTTTGGGAGTGTGATGGCTGGGACTGCTTCTCTTCAGTGAGGTGTGTGATGTTAGCTGATGCTGATGATTTCTCGGCCCTTCTCTGGCCCAGGGGGCTCATTCCCCAGCCCTGAATTAGACATTGATGAAATGCAACCTGGCTAAACTTCCTGCACTACCAGCAGAGCTCCAGGGTGACATCACCAGTGATGTCATTTGGATGCCTGTACCCCAGAAACGATTCTAGAGGACACTTCATCCCCCACCACTCTTCTCAGACTGCTGCCAGCTGCTGCGGGTCAGCCCTACCCCAGTCCTGTGTCATCCCCAGACCCTTGTGGTCCACAGGGCTGTCCCCAGCAAATTCCCAGCCATCGCTGGGCAGGTCTTTCCTCCTAGTCCACCTTGGTCTGGGAGCTCCACTGAAACTTGTTCTGCATCAAAGCTCCTGGCAAGCCAGCACTGGCCTGGCCAACAGGCAGGGCTGCGCAGCAGGGTCCCCTGAGGGAAGCTGACCCACCACTGCTCCTGCAACCCCAGGCCCCAAGCGAGGGGCACTGATGGAGTATGTGCTTCCTCAAAGAGACCCAGGAAAACCCTAGCGCTGCCGAGAGGCCTTGGGAGAGGTGAGGATTAAGTGCAACCTGGTGTCTTGCACTGAACCCCAGCACTAGAAAAAGCCGTCAACGCAGACACTGGTGAGGTCTACGTGGAGCCTGGGGTTCAGAGGGCACCGCGAGTTCAGGGCTGGAATCCTAGCTTGGACCACGGGTCAGGCAGCCTCAGTGTGACCATGAGGGGAACTGAAATTGGATGAGGCAGACAGAGGAATTTTCTCTGTTATCTTGGCAACTTCTCTCTTCATCTAATATTCTTTTAAAAAGCAAATCGCAGTCTGGCAGAGAGCCTATCAGCAGGCTGGGCTCAGACATCACTTGGGGGCCTGTTGGGGCCACAGCACACCAGCTCTGAGCTGGAGACCAGTGCCACCCCACCCCACCCCACCCACACACCCACACACAACACAACAGTAGTGCAGTACCTTCAGCCGCCCGGTCACTCTCATCTGCACTTAACCTTTATGAGAACATCAAGATTTGATTTAGACCAGCTCCTAATGCAGAAAGTTGCCAGGAATATCGACCCTCAAATTATCAGCTCTGTGAAGAAGGGAAAATCCTTTTGTATTCTGGGCAGGCTGATGATCTCCCTCATGTGACCAGGGGCTAAAAGTGGCCCAGCCCCTGGGTCCCATGTGCCGGCATCCAGTTCTCTGCAGCATTTGCTCCATCAGAATAAAGTATGTGCTCCCAAAATAGCACCTGATAAAATTATCTCAGCAAGTCCTTCCAGGACAGCCGGTGGGATTGGGACATGGGTGGACTGTCCTTGGGGAAGAAAGCAGGCTCCTGGGGGCAGGCGGTGAGTCGGGCACCCCAACTCATGATGAGGAGAGGGAAGGTCTGCACCCTCCCCACCCCGCGCTGCTTTCCTTCCCCGGGGTTCCTCCGCTGATGGACACCCACCGGCCCATGGCCAGGCCAGTGATCAAGACACAGAGGCCAGCCTGGGGCCCTCTCCTGTCTGTACTGACAGGGGGGCTGCTGACCAGGGAGAAAGGATTCCAGCAGATGGTGAGCTCGCAGAGGGTGGGATCCAGACCCTGCACCGCCTGTCCAGCATGCAGCAGGCATTCAGGAAACATCTGGCCAGCCCCGTGGCAGGTTGGGCCCTTGGCAGGCACCAAGCCACACCGAGAACCTGGAAACAGCCCTGTGGCTGGAACCAGGTGCCCCATGGGAGGCTTTATCTGCTGCTACTGCAGTCTGAGTGGCTGTGAGCCAGCTCTCAGGCTCTATCCCAGCGTTGGACCAGACAGCTCCTCCACGCTGCCTGGGGCACAGTTCTCCCTGCTCCTGACCCGGAGGCTGCAATGGGCCCTCACCCCAAGGAATGGTGCCTTTCTGACAAGCGAGCCATTTCCTCTGAAAAGCTGACCCCAACTATTACTCACGGCTTGAGTGAGCCCAGGGGACAGGGATCACTCCTGGGAGGCAGGGGGCTGCTTCCCTGCACTGGACATCTTACTCTCAGAAAGGCGCTCCCCCTCCCATGGAGCTGGCAGTGGGGGTGCCCATTCAGTATTTTAGCCAGCAGGCACAGTAAGGGCTCAGCAAGCTACCCCCCCAGTGCCCATGTAAGTGGCATCTCAAGTGGCAGGGTCATGAAGGGGGGTGGGGGGGCTGCAGGGTACCCTGATACCTTCCCAGTCCTGGACACATCCCCCAGGCGGGGACAGGGCCAGTGACCCAGAGAATTTAGGGACTGAATGATATCGTCCCATTTCCCAGCAGGCCCTGCAACTCTGGGCCATCACACAAGCCTTTTCCACAGGATGAGTGATGGACACAAAGATAAAGTCGCAGAGGCCACCATAACTGGCCTGGCTCTGGGCACAGTGACTGTGGCCTGTCTACAATGCCCACGAGGACGGCAGTCTCCACAGGCCCCTTACCAACAGCTATTCCCGGCGGGCCGCCCACCAAACCGCCAACGAAGGCCACAGCCCCGGTGACCAGGGCGCCCTTTCCGGAGTGCTTGACGGCTGCCTTCATCTTCCTCTCCTCAGAGACGGAGCAGAGAAGCTGCATGATGTCTTCCACAAGGACAGGCATCCTGCGGGCCCTGAGGGAGGGACGGGGGTTCAGAGAGAGCTCTAGTGGGAGGAACCCCCATTTCCTGCAGAGAGCAACAGCCCCCCCCCCC